ATATATATTAAAACGATCCGCGCACTGCGCGAGTATGTATACTAGTTTCATGAATAGTTGACAAAACATTACCAGTCATCTATAATTCTTTAAGTGGAAGCAAAATGACGTACAATATCTCTAATCCCCACATACATACATGACCCGTACTGTGTTTACGGAGCCTGTAAACTGACATGAGAAAAATATGAAAGTGCCGGTAACAACGCCCCGGCTATATCTCAAAACAATGTACAAGGATCAATGTCAACCAAACATGTGAAGCGATTGCATGGGTAGCATATAGCCGCTTGTCTCTCACAACTACGGGCTAAGGAATAGAAACCATGAAATTATGAAATCATGAATAGGAAGAGAACAAGAAATTCATTTGAGCTTCCTTAGGATCTCTACTATGTTCCCCTACTTGAATTACTTCAATCTACATTACAAAAGTTCAATTGAACCAACATTAGCAATAGTTTTCATATTTTAGGTCTTTTAGGCATATTGTCAAACATTTAACATGCACGTTCGTCTACAACCTCCGATACAGGAATTCCTTCATCCTATAACCACGCTTAGGCAACCAATAATCTCCATTAGCACATGCATGCCCAACAATTTACTCCCAACCCATCAATCACATTATCCTGTTCTTCACAAACATCTAATTTCAAGGTTGAGAGCTTATGCTTTCTATCACCATCCCATAAGCTCTAACATTAAATCCTAACTATAATCTCATTATTTAACATTGCATGTGAGCTAGGGATGAAGTCTTACCTTGTTAGTAGAAGGCCTTGTATATCTCTTTCCTTGAATCCCCAAGGATTGAGCAAGAAATTGTGGTGTAGGAATGGTAGAGCTCTTCCCTCTCTCTCTAGAGTGTTACTCTCGCTCAAAACAATTTGATTCTCCTTCTAAAACCACAAACTTTGGCCTTTTATTAAAATAGAATCGAGTTAGAAATTTTCCAAAGATACCCCTCCGAGTCAGGTCTACGATCGGGAATTGGACTGCAAAATGGTTCTCCAGGTTTGAATTGGAACTGGATGGGTCTGAGATATGCCGTCCACATAACGGTTCTGTGGTACGCACATTGGATTGGAAAATCTCCTTCAAAAACTCCCCAGGTGGCCCGACCAATTTCGCGATGGATCTACGGTCCGCGAATCAGCTATGCGGTCCGCATAACCCACCGCGAAATAACCCTCAAATTCTAGTTTGCTTCAACCCCAATCGGCGATGATTCTGTGGTCAACGAAACTTCGCATTCACTGACCACAGAATCGCTCTCTCATGCCAATCCTTTTACCCACTTCGCGACGCATTGCACAACGAAACTTATTTACAATCTTTGCAACATATTAGCTTGGCCTTGGCACTATAAAACCTTAAATCCTTGGCGAACTTTTACGGGCCTTACAATTTGACAATGAATAAAGTCAAGGAAAAATGTGTAGGCTGAAGAAAGCCTTGTATGATGACGAAGCTGAGCCAATGACTACGATTATCCCAAGACCAATTTTGATGAACCCCATTGAAGCTGTAAGTAGTTCAGAAGCAGAATTTTCCTCATGCGACACTCTCAGTCTTCCATGGTATGATCCAGATTCATCAAGCTCACAAGCAATCAACTCGCCGTCAGTTATTGAGACCTCGAGATGGACCAAATCAGTAATGATGAGGGCTTGCAAGGTATTTGGGGTAAATGTGGCGTGGTTTGAACATGAGATTCTTGGCATGATCCTGTGTATGCAACAAAAGAGACAAAAGCAAATTCAGAAGTAGAAATCCTCAATCAAAGGCAACAAAAATGGAAAGAAGAAGCAGACTTTGGAGTTAGAAAGACTAAAGTGGGGTATGAATTCTGATGGCATGAAGGCAGGGGATAGGGACAGGTTCTCTAAAGCCTTTTCCGAATGAAGATAATAATTTTAAGCTGAAATGTACGGGGCCTCAATGAGGCAGAAAAAAGAAGTACAATAAAGTCACTAATTCACAAATGGAAAGCTGAAGAACGGTCCCCATATTGGATTAGACAAGTTCGGGGTAATAGATGGGTTGAATGGGTGGAGTTAAATTCAATTGGGAGAAGTGGAAGTTTTCCTGGTACTTTGGGACAAAAGGTTGTGGATCAACGAGGGAGTCCAACAAGGGTCATAAACTATTTCTTGCATGTTGGAAAGTACACAAGAAGATTTCAGATGGTGTTTCACAGGGGTATATGGGCCACATACAAACCTAGAGAGAGATTCTTTGGCATGAACTAGCAGCTATCCTAGGTATTTGGGATGAACAAGTCATTGGGGGAGATTCCAATGTCTGCAGATTTAAAAGTGAGGTAAAAATGTATTAGAAGGTCTAGGGCAATGAAGTCTTTCATTGATATTATACAAGATCTGGAAATCATAGATTTACCACTCCAAGGGTCTCAATACACTTGGTTCAGAGGGGAAGACTCTTTGCAAGCTTCTAGAATTGTTAGGTTCTTAATATTCATCGAATGGAATGACAATTTCAAAGCAATCAAGCAATTAGGCCTCCCAAGAGTCGTTTCTGATCATAGACCTTTGCTATTGAAATGTGGTGATTGGGGAGCCAACCCCTCCTATTTCAAGTTTGAAAACATGTGGCTAGAAGTAGATGGTTTCATTGACAAAATCAAAGGATGGTGGCAAAGTTATACAATTGGGAGCAATCCAAGACCTTTTTAATGCAAAAATTGAGAAGATTGAAGGACATTTCAGATTGGAACAGGGAAACCTTTGGCCAATTGGAAGCACAGAAGAATGAGTTGCTTGAAGACCTAGCCTTACTGGAGCAAGCAACTAAGAATAGAATGATGACTCGGGTAGAAAAGGAGAAATCTTACACTCACTGGACTTCCTAATGACCTTGATTCAGTACGTGACCAGATTTTGGCTAGTCCGACTATCCCTACAGTTGATGAATTATTCTCTCGATTACTTCGCCTTGCTGCAGCACCAAGTCACCCAGTGATCTCATCCTAGACACTTGACTCCTCTGTTCTCGCATCCCATGGATAATCGGGCATCTCAAACTATGGAAGAGGAGGAGGTCGTTTTGGAAGATCTAGACCCAAGTGTTCTTATTGTCATAAACTGAGACTACAGGTAATAGAGAACTTACACATATAGAGTTCAAAATGAGATAAGATTGTATGAAATGGTTTGTCTATGTCTTACCTAAACGTTCAGATGCACTAGTTTGTGGGTACACTATTATGCTTGTTATCAGCTCGTTGGGATCAAGGTTTAGTTGCTGTTACATTTACTTTTGGTTGGGTTGGGGGGGGGGGGGNTGGAGGGAAGAAGTGTGAGATTTAGAGAACCTCTAGCTTTACACAACCTTAATTTAATCTGAAATTCTTACCATCGCGGAAGGCAATGGGACTGGATGTAGCGGAACATATGGAGGGAAGAAGTGTGAGATTTAGAGAACCTCTAGCTTTACACAACCTTAATTTAATCTGAAATTCTTACCATCGCGGAAGGCAATCGGACTGGATGTAGCGGAACATATGGAAGATTCATATTGTGAGCCTCAACTAGTTTGGTATTAACATTGCTGGTTGATTGATTGATTGATTGTTTGGTTTACTTAAAGCTTTTGGTGCAAAAAGGCCAGCTAGCGCTGGGTTTAATGCTCTGTTTCTGTGTTTGATTAGATAGGCACTTCTTTAGTGAGTTTTTCTGTCTTGAGCAGATAATGCATGACCATCCTGATTCGTGGCCGTTCAAAGAACCTGTTGATGCACGGGATGTTCCTGATTATTATGACATCATCAAAGATCCAATAGGTAATTGCTTTTTGCTTTTTGTTTCTCTGGTGGTTGTTAATCATCTGCTAGAAATTTATTCAATTTCCTCTTTCTTTTCTTTTTTTAATTGGTAAAAGTGAATTGTATTTCACAATTGTGATGCACCAAACAGTTGCTACATGAATTAAAAGCTAAAGCTCTAATGAACTCTCAAGATGGTCATCCACTTGAATTACTTCTTGTTTTTTCCACAAATAGTTTTTACGAACAAATGTTTCCAATCTGTAGTCGAGTTTCGCTTCCCTTTAGAACCTCTTCTTTTTGCCATATGATGTGCAGTGTGGGTCAGGTGCAGTTTCTCTCTCTCTCTCTCTCTCTCTCTCTCTCTCTCTCTCTCTCTCTCTCTCTCTCTCTCGTGTTTGTTGCAATTCTTCCAGGCCAATAGTTCTTAGGCACGGACCTGACTGTTGTCCGCTTCATTTTAAATAGTACCAAAAGTATATTCGATTCATTCTTACCTACTTTACTATGTAATAAGTTGGTTATTGTTTCTTTTTCCCTTGATTCCATCGGTTATATCTTGAAAGATGGTATGTGTTATCACGTAATTCATTTTATTTCATCTCCCTTTTATCTTAAAAATATCTTACCATGTCCTTATTCCTGTAACACTCATGGGCATGGATTTTGATACACTGGAGGCTGCATGGTTGATTCTGGATGAGTGCTGTTACTACTGAAGTAGCTTCTTCTTTCTGTTTTCTGTATAGAATGTAACTGTCTATGTGGGCGTTCTATTATGCATATTGCATAGACCTTCCCTTTGTCCCCGTAAGCTACTGCATACTCAGGTTGCCGAACCGCAACTTGATTTCTGCTACGCTTCACTTTAAAATGAACACACTTGGCAGCCTAAATAGAGCTTGTATTGTCATTGTTGGTGTCCCACATCGGCTATGGTGAGGTGTTTGATTTCTTTATATGGTCTTGGACAATCCTCAACCCTTGAGCTAGTTTTTGGGGTTGAGTTAGGCCCAAGGTCCATTTCTTTAACATCAGTCTATCAACTGAGGCCCACCCAGTTCTTATTTCATAGACAGAAGTTTATAGTTGTGCGTTGTGTAATTTGGATATTATTTACAGATTGAAACTTATTCAAGCACCTGCCTGATCTTGATTGACTTCTTCTAGCCAAATATAGAATGCCCTTCCTTTTCATCCTTTTTGTTGTTGCTAAAGCGTGGCCAGAGACTTCAAAAGGTCTTACAATTGTGGATACACTCAGGGACAAATGTTATACGTTCAATTGTGGCCAAATTTCTTTTCATTGTTTGATCGCAGACTTGCATGTCATGAGGTTAATATTTCCAGTACAACTTTTCATTTTCAGCTATTTCTTTTCTTTCTTTGTACTTTACCATGTGAGAGGTAAGGCCAAATCAGATTTTGGAACCTTTTAAGTGATAAATACAAAAGTTCAGCTACAGAGGCTAAAGAGAGGGGTGGACAGAGTTATAATAATTCTTTTCCTACCATACGGGTCTGCGAGCATCCCGCTTTTTTTGTTTTGTTGTGGTTGTTGTTGTGGGTTGGTGAAATACATGTATGAAGATTCATGAATAGTTCCGTTCATTTGGTCTAATAGGCGTCTGATTGTGCCATGCAGACTATTTGCGAAACTTTTAGGATGTGTATCATTTGCACGTCAAGATTAAATCTAACTGCTCTTTCCCTCTGGACTCCTCTTTTAATTTCATTTATCATTAAGTTGTAACATTTTCTTCTGGTTATGTACAATGCAGATCTAAAAACAATGTCGAAGCGGGTTGAGTCGGAGTTATATTATGTGACATTTGATATGTTTGTTGCGGATGTCAGAAGGATGTTTGCTAATGCTCGCACTTACAATTCTCCTGAGACAATTTACTACAAATGTGCAACCAGGCAAGTATATTGCTCTTTAGTGCTCCAGATGTCTTTTTTCACAATTTGTTTTTTTATTATTTTATGCATGTCACAGTTTCAATTATCAATTTTTATCCGCTTACAGGCTTGAGTCACATTTCTCAAACAAAGTTCAAGCTGGTCTACAATCTGGTATCAAGATTCAGTAGCAATTTAGCTTGATTCTGGTTGAACTGACTGCACTTGAATCTCTTCATAACTGATGTCTTATGGTATCCTCCAATATTTAGAACCATGTTTTTTTTTGGGAGGTGGAGGAATTTGTAGAACGAGTAGATGTATAATAGTTATTTTATTTTAATGTGAACTTTTCAATGCATTTTATTTTGTAAGATGACATTTTTCGTATAGTTGGTGTTGGGTAGACGGCAAGGCATTTTGCCTCAGAGGGATCTCGGAGTTGCATGTTCATCGTCTGGGCTTCGGGTGGTCAGTTCTTGCTCTAGTGATTGGCGGTACTGCATGATTCTTATACGTAACCAAGGTAGTACGTATTCTGTAATCAGACGCACCTATTAGAGTTAACAAACATGTTAAATTATGATAACGAATTAGAGATATTCGACTTGTTTATCCTAGTTGACTTTGAAATCGAAGAATCAGATATGCACTTCGCTCTTTAAGTTGAAAAATGAAAGGATAAATGATGGGTATAAAAATGAAGCCTGAATGTCAATTTAGTGTAGAAAGAAGATAACTTTTAGTAATAGTTTTTCGGAAATGTCGAGTCATACAGTACACTTTTTCTAAAATATAAACGTATAGGAAATTATATTCAACGAATTTAAAAGGAAATCCTTCATTTTAAGGGGGTGAAAGTTGAATTCTTGGGATCAACACAGTTGTGTTGTAATTTCTATATGACATTGTTCTCAAATACTCTACAAATTATTCTTGTACCATTTCATAACCCATTTGAAGAGTCTAAATTTCTAAGTAGCATAAGAGTGCATTTTCTTTCAAAACTAACATTGTCAAGGTAACATAAAATTACATCTAATTTCTTGGTGTTTTTTGACACAAGTGTACAGATGCAGGTGGCTTGCTAATATAGTTAAAATATCATGGTATAGCCAGTTTTCACACTGGTCAATGAAAAATAGCCAGCATTTATCAAGTCAATGAAAAATAGCCACTATTTTGCTGCAACAGGGACCGGTCCAGTATAATATACGGGAGTTCTGGTGCATTTGTGTACGAACTCCAGCATATTATGCTGGACCGATATACTTTGCTAACTCCTGTAAAATTTGCGGGAGACTGGAGCACCAGTGCTCCAAACTCCAGTATATTATACTGGACAATTATACTTGCTGGAACTCCCGTAAAATTTGCGGGAGTTCCAGCATAATTATGCTTGAACTCCCGTAAAATTTGCGGGAGTTCCAGCATAATTATGCTTGAACTCCCGTAAAATTTGCGGGAGTTCAAGCATACTTATGCTGGAACTCCCGTAAAATTTGCGGACGTATTTTTTCCGATTTTGAACAGTGTTTTCGCTCAGATTTAAAGTGGCTAAATTTTGATGACTTTTGAAACTTGGCTATTTTTCAACGACCAGTGGTAAATCTGGCTATTTTTGAATTTCTCCCGCTAATATACTACATGAACATAGTATGTTAGCAATGTAACTAATTTCAGCTTTTCCTTAAATGCCCCTAATAACTTATTGCAACATATCAATAGGAGCGGTTTTTTTTGGGTCTTTTCACAAAAATTAAATTCAACCCCAGCGCCCCTTTCTGCAATCCAAATTTGGCGATTTCCCCTCTCCTTACCCCCCCTCCCGCCCGGTCTCTTTTCCCTCAACCTTTCATCTTCCTCCCAGCCCCTATTTCTTTCTCTACCAAATCATGTGAGGGAGATGTGTTTTGAGGAGTCTTGTTTGAGCAAATAATTGCTAAACCAATTAAAGATGAGTCAAAGGTGAATCTCAATTGAACTTAATAAATTCTAGATAAAATAACAAAAGCTTTTGTATAACGAGTAGAGTTCAGGAGCATTAAATAGTGGACTTAATTTGTTATACTCGACGATAGCATAAATGTGTAATAAATGCAAGCAATGATAAAGACTATAATGGGAAAGGAACTATCACCCAATGATTTTATGGTTGGGATATTCCTTTTTTCTGGCGGTGGCGTGAAACAACGAGAGATCCAAAAATGTATATGGGATCTTGAGATTTATGAATAAGGATTGGACAACACGTGCTTGAATAAATGAATAAGACAACTCTTTTGTATATTTTTCTTTCAACTTTTACAATATGTTCCAGTTCGAAAAAGACAGATCCCCTTTTTGTTCCCTATCTCTTCCTATTTATAAGGGACATTCCTCAAAAGCCCTAAAAAGTACAACATAAAGAATATTCTTTATGTTCACTCTAAACTTAAGTTACCGGTTACTATTCTATCCCAGCTGCCCGCTTCTGGCGTTAGCCTTCATGAGGACGTCCTTTAGTCGCTGTGTCGTGGTCGACCCCGTCCTTTGTCTTGCTTATCCGTTATCGTGGTTACCAAATTTGGACCTATACAGTTAGTCCCTCCACTTGTTGAGGTCGTAGCCCTACACGTCCTCGATAAGCGGACATCATTCGTTTTCGTCGTGGGAGAATTTGGCTATTAAATCACGTCGGGTCAACCAAGATCGAGAGAACGACACAACCGGCGGGGTCATGACTGGCATGGTTACCATGATGTGATGTCACTACCCTTCGCGTCATCATTACGCATCTTCCCGAGACAGCGTCTGCGTGCTTGTCGCTAGGGGTGTTCATGGTTCAGTTTGGATCGGTTTTTCCCTAAAAAGAAACCAAACCAAGTAAGTCGGTTTTTCAAATATTAGAACCAAACCAAACCAATTAAGTCAGTTTTTTCTTGATTCAGTTTATGTCGGTTTTTCGGTTTTTTCGGTTATTTGTCGGTTTTTTTAAATATAAGACATACACTACCAAACACATATTTCGGCAACCACATTTTCAACGTAACACTATCAAATCAATTGCCCTTTGAGAAATTTATTATTTACCAAGATATATTGATGATAATTGAATCAAATAGTGATGAATAATTTAAGGACTCAATCAAAAATATATTATTTTTAACATGAAATAGATTCTTACACTTAACAAAAGAAAACTACTAAACAAACTAGAATGTAAAGGTAAAGACCTGTACTAAAAGTGCAAACGATTAACATCTATAAAATTTTTGAAACTTTATATAAAAGTGTATATATATATATATATATATATATAGGTGTAATAATAAATTTAAAATAGCTACTCCTATATTCGATTTGGTTCGGTTATTTTTTTATTAAAACCAAAACCACACCAAATTTGATCAGTTTTTAAATTTCAAAACCAAAACTAAACCAAACCAAAAAGTATCGGTTTTTTTGGTCGGTTTGGTTTGGTTTTCGGTTTGGTTCGGGATTTTGGATTTTTATGAACACCCCTACTTGTCTCTTTGGTTTTAGTGTCATTGACAATCCTTCGCTTCTATTCTCGCGCCATCCAACCCTATAAATAGATGAGGGTTCCATTTTTTCAGAAGTTTCCGCCATTTCCTTCCTTGCATGTACATTATCTTTCTTCGATCCTATTTGTCAATTCTCGTTATCAGCTCTATTTCTGCGATTCTGTTTCTCATCTTCCTGTTTAGTCATCACCTCTTTCTTTAGGTTTAATAGCACACCTTCAGTTGTCGAGATGTCCCGAACCCTTCGCATACATGACGAAGTTTCTGACGCCACTCCGTTGTCAGTGGCTCCTCCTTCCGCCGGCAAGGATCTCGTGGTTGAGGAGGGTGAGAGTTTTCCTACCGTAGGAGAGATACTTCCTAGAAACCCCTTATCTAGAAACGATTTCCATAAGGAACCCGCTCCTTCTCCCGTTCCGCTGATCTCTGAAACGAGGCCGTCTCATAGAGATGAACTCCGATCTACATACCGTATTCTGTCTCACGTCGAGATGGTTCCAGCTGGTGGCGACATCGTGGAGGTCCATAGACCTGGGTATTGTGCTTTTTATGTTTATCCTTTCGTAATTGGTTATACTCTCCCTCTCCTTCCGCTGGCGGAGGAGTTCTATCGGTTTTACAACGTCTACCCGGCACAGCTGTCTTCGTATTTGTATAAAACTTTACTAATGTTGACAAAGTACGCAGAGTTGGCTGGTTGTGAGGTCGACATCCACCACCTATTACATTTGTTTTCACCAAGCTTTTACAGAGGCACCATGATACACCTGCGACATCGCGGGACAAGGGGGCTGATAGTTGGAATGGATGACAGGGCGAGCCGAAAGTTTTGGATAAGTACTTTTTTATCAAAACGGAGCACTTGGTGTCGGACCCTGATGGATTTCCTGAGCAGTGGAATTATAATCGTAGGTGTCGATGGCATACGTTTGTTATCTACTTTCATCCTTTTGATTTTTATTCATCTGTGTTTTTCTTTGTAGCTGAGAGGCGTGCGCCTTTTCCCGTCGTCGGCATTAAGGATTGGGTGGCTCGCGTGTTACCTCACATGGCGGGGATCCGAGATTGGGTGGTTTTCTACAAACGCTTCGGACCGAAGGTTCCGTGTAGTAAGTATTTCTTTTGTTTCGATCTTTAACTGCTTGTCGTCATTTATTGATACGACCTTTGTGGTGTCAGGTCGACGGGTTTCCAAAAAGAAAGCTCCAGTGCCGGCATTTTGCCAGGCCATTGCATCGGCAAGGATGCAATTTTCTTTGGCCGAGTCCGCTCGCGGGGGTCGTACTCAAACTTTATCAACAAGGGACCCCCTCCTTAGGATGTCGCTGTACGGGACGAGATCTCTTCCCGGCCTGTCTACCACCTCGTAGATGAGTCCTCCAGCAGGGAGGAGTCACCGTCGAGAAAGAGGAGGATGGTGGAGCTCGGGAAGGCTATCACCACCGGCTTTGAAAAGAAGAAGGTCGTTGCTTAGAGAGTGCCGTCCTCACCTACGTTAGACGTAGGGGTCGTTTTTATGGCGGATGCTATTGTGGCGGGGAGGTCCCCTAGGGCCGAGGGGACATGCAAAGGCGGGGAACCTGTACGGGCAGCTTAAGGTGGCGCGTTGTCAGCTGTCGGAGGGGATGGAGCGGTATTTGCGAAGGACGATAGTTCAGGCTCCGACATCGATCCCAAAGAGGTGCGGGCCTTTTTGAAGAGAAATACCCGCGTGGAGGTGAGGACGGAGGGTCCTAAAAACCACGTAATCTTTCCCGTGGATTACGATCTTTTGGCGAACTCTGAGCAAGCTGTGTCGGCCTTTGCTCCCTTGTGTGCCACTTCTGAGAATGCGGCGCTTCAGGCGATGAGTGACGCGGAGCTATCACAGAGTATTTCTGGCATGACTTTGCGAGTAAGCATTTTTTATTTTCCTGTTAGGATTTGTTTCGCATGCATAATCTTCTTATGCTAACTTTCTTTCCTCTACATGTCAGACTCTCATTATGGAGATCGAGCGCGACTGGAGGGATGAGCGAAGAATGACCGTTTTTAAGAAGGTTGCCTCTAAGTACGAAGAGTACCGCACCAAGCACTGTGCGTTGGC